CAATATAAGCATTTGGGAAACAAACATTCATTGTCTTCAAATATTGTAGCACTTCAATTGCTCTCATTGCTTCAATTGGTATATAACACCTCAAGACACTTAACTCCAAGCATAAATCATCTTCATTAATGTCTAAACGTCTATTATGTTTCGAATACTTTTCAAGATTAAGAGGGTGTTTGTTTTGTATTTGAAAATTGATTTTCAAATCAATTCTCATTTTTAAACACACATTTTTCAATAAAATAATATTTTCCATCATATCAATAAATTTTTCTTCTTTTTCATCCACACATTTTCCATCATATCACTATTCAAAATCAATTCTTCCCTCAAAAATCTCTATCAAACAAGCTCTAATACAAGACTTCAATAAACAAGAAAAAGTTGAATGCACTAACCTCTCTAAATTAAACAACAATTCAAATGCATCTTCGTATTGTTTAAATTGTTCAAATCAAATCTTTAGGAAATGAATTAAACTTGTAGGACAGGGTCAATGACACCATCTTAACAGGCTTTTAAATTGTCCCATGTGTAAAGGTAAGTTTTTGGAGGGAAAATTAGCAACACGTGAGAGAGAGAAAAGGCAATTTCAGACAGATTATTTGATATAACACACCCACATAAATTTGGAAAAATAGCAAAAAATAAAAAATAAAAAAACCATAAATTTTTCCCCAAATTGAAAAGGTTAGAATCCGATTTTTCCCCAGATTATTTGGCATGACATCTCCGAAAAGTACTGGTCTGGTCAAGAGAAGAAAAAGTACGTTAATTAGTAAGTTTCTTACACATGTTCAGTTCTTTAATTATTAAGTTTCTTACTTTGTTCGGATTGAAAAAAAAACATTAAATTAGTAAGTTTCTTACCTTGATCGATTCTTTAATTATTAAGTTCTTTGAATATTAGTTAACCAAGTTCTTTAATTCTATATAGTTCTTTAAACTTTTCAAAAATATTTCTTTGAATATGAACTTGGTTAAAGAATTATATACAGTTCTTTAAAATCCTACTAATATAACCGAGCTGCCTAAGTTCTTTGAATATCAATTAACCAAGTTATTTAATTATATATAACCAGGTTCTTTAATTATTAAATTCTTTAACTTTAAAAACTGGGATATGTATCACATGAGTTATGTACTAGATTTTCATTATGTTCTAATTTTTTGATAAGTATATGCTTTCTGTAGAAGTAAAAAACGTGTTCGAGAATAATTTTTTAGCTATCTATCGTAATGTTATTATGGATTACACCGATTATGTTATTGCAGATGTTTTGGTGAAATCGGATTACGAGAACAGTACGAACTTCGTTAACATAGAAGAATGGGAGACGGTGTAATTGTACTTAAGGTGAGTACGTAGTTTAAAGATTTAAAGGATATGTTTGAATTGTACAAAAAATATGCGGATGCCGTTGAAGGGAAGACTATTGAGAATTATGAATGTGACACTGACGTGTAGCCGTGAAGGTCGAAGATTCAGTAATACTAGCGAATCTTTGAAGCCACAACCGACAATTAGATGGGCTGTAAAGCCAAAAAAGGCATAGCAATGTCAACTCCAGCAAAGGCTAATTCGGTATAACAATTCACGCAATCTCAGGAACTAAATCACAATTCAAGGGGAGAAACACTGAGCAACCATCATAATGAACACACGAACTACAAAGTAGACAAACATAAACGAAATGTGTTTCCATAACGATTGAAGATGAAAACGACCTTGCATTCCATAATGCGAGACATGTAGACAAGATTCATAATTCCATAACACAAAACACCTTGACAAGATTCGATTTAATGACATTTCTTCTTTGTCCACTAGGTCTCAAAAGGCTAAAATTCTCCAACAAAAAAGTCAAAATTTCAGTCATCTAGGTTAATAGCATTTGAACAAATTCCATCCAAAATCAACACACAATTTAAGATACTAAACT